CAACAGGAGGGGCACCTCTCGATCTTGGTATTTCTTCTCATGAGCTTGGCCCAAGGTGGTATCATATAATCAATACCATATTTCCACAGGAAATATTTCAGGCACCAATCACAGTGACAACGCTCCAAACTAGGGGGATAGTCTATTGTCCAGTGAGGTATGCGTTCTCCACATTCATTACATCCCCAATAGACATCAATAACTTCATCGTCACTGTCATACACTGGTATTCTGCTGACCTCTGTCAACTGGTTACGACAATGAGGACATCTACTACGTTCTTGTTCAATAAAATAATACATTCTCCACACGTAAGTCATGATTGCTAAAATGAGCACAGTGACCTCAAAGCAAAGATTTATATATATATCTGATGATGGCTATTTTTAGCATCTCGGAAAAAACAACACAAGATTTTTTTTCTCTCTCTAAGGTTTTATTCATATAAACAACAACAACAATAACAACAACAACATCTTCATCATATTAACAAACATTCAAAACATTGGTGCAGTTCATTTTTGTTTTGGTATAGGAAACAATCTGCTCATGTACAAATATTCGGTTTCACTGACATAGTCTTACAATAGACTCTCATTTTCTCTATCTGGTTTTAATTATTTATTTTTTGACTCCCGAATTAACTTGGTGAATTTGTCTTCTTGGTCGTAGGTGTATGATGCATCATGGTAGGACTAGGCATGATGTAACCTACTGAAGAACTGACACAGACCATCCAATACTCTCGATTAGGATCGTGTAAAGCTAACATGACCACACTCGTGATGATGAGGGAAATACAAATGAATAATTGTGCAAAATACACAATTTCTTCTCGAGGAATATTCTCTCCACAAAATTTCCAATGAGGTGTTACTGGATGAGATCCGTTTGAGGAATCCATGAATCGAAACTAGGGGGATATCCTTTCCACCGGACTTTAACTTCTTGAATGATTTTCTTCCCTATGCGTCGCTTTTTATACCCCAAGATTTCCTCCACTTCGTAAACATCGTCTTTTTTAATGATCTGTTGTAATTCTTTCTCGTAAAAAGTGCCTTCTAATTCCTCACCGTTGTAATCTTGTACCCGATACACGTAAGGGTAACGACCGGGGACTCTTTGAGAAATGGTAAACAGTTCTGTAGTCCAGTTGGGTAAATATCCTTTTTCAAAAGTGCGTTTGGCTTTACTGATGCGCACCTGATCTCCCGTTTTAAATTTGGGTTTTCTAAGGGATTTTTGAGATTGCCCATATAAAGTTTTCCAGACTTTTAACACATTGGAAGGCTTCACTTGAGCTGGAGCTCTTTGGATACTGCGATGGAAAGTATGATTGTAAGCATACACTAAGTCCGGTAAGACCTCTAAATACCGCCTGGTTTTATGACGGGTGAAATAGCGCCACATGCGTGCTTTGAGAGTTCTCTGAAATCGTTCCACGATACTGGCTTTGGTGTCCGTATTGCGAGTGGTAAAGAAATGAATGGATTTAAAAGCCTGTAAGAATTCTCGATTGGTAAATTCTTTGCCTTGATCCGATTGAATGCGGACGGGGCGTCGACCGTCTTGTTGAAAAATCTCTTGTAATCCTCGAATCATTTCTTTTCCCGTTTTCTGTTTTAAAGGCACCACCCAAGCATATTTAGATAAGACGTCAATGGCACACAATAAAAACGTATAGCCGTCATTGTGTTTCTTTAAACTGGACACATCAGCTAAATCTAATTGCCATTGTTCGTCTATATCTGTCACTCTCGTCTGCTGTCTCCGAAATTTTCTGTGAATGGGTTTATGTAAGGTATAGGTATCTTGCTCTTTTAACCATTCTCGTATCTTTTTCAAAGAAATCTTATGTCCCAGACTTCTGACCTGACGATACAAAGCTTGTATCCCCCCATACCCTCTCTTGGGATTGTAATAAATCTCTTTTAAAATGTCTTCTACTTTCTTCTTCTTCATTTTTTAGGCAATGAAAGCCAATCTTCGTTGATTTGTTGTAATTTCTTCTTTTCTTCTTGGGTTTTTAACTGCTTTTTAATTGCTCTAAAGGGACTGATTCTGGGTGTGAATGTTTTAAGCACTCTTGATCTCTCTTCTGCAGGTCGACTAATAGGGGTTAAAAAGGAAGAAGAAGCATCCTGAAATCCGCTCTCTTCTTCATCTTCATCACTTAAGATCCCTTTAGGAGTACTGATTTTCCCTGGTTTCTGCATGGCTTTTATAAGGTTTTGGTTTTTCACGTAGTCCATGGGAGCATGGGTCTCTTTTAAAGCTTGAGCAAATTCATCTAATCCTTTAGGAACGGGATGGTTTTTCAAGGGTTTGTTTCTCATGTTTTCAGCCATTAAATCCACAATATTAGAATTGGGTACTTTATGACCTCGATAACTGATTTCTCCGTCTTTATCCCAAGTCAACACTTTGGTTTTCTTTAAATGATTTAATAATAATTCAGCTTTCCTTTGCATGGGTTTATTCACGCTTTGAATGATTTGTTGATCGATCTCGGAAGTGGTACCCGACTTTTCTGGTCCAGCTGCTGCTGGTGCTGCTGCTGCTGCTGCGGGAGCTGAAGCTACTGCTGCTGCTGCTGCTGCTGCAGGGACTACGGGTGCAGGGGCTGGTGTTTTTGGAGTCGGTGGTTCTCTAGCTTGTTGTAAATAATTCCTATAGCGATAAAGTTCTTGACCATATAAAGCCACTTTTTCTTCTGGGGTTAAATCTTCACGCTGTGTAATCTCATCCAATTCCTGACCTAAGCTAAGGGTGGTTTGAAATTCTGGGGGTTTGGGTAATTTTGCCTTGAGTTCATTCAACAGAACTTCAGGCACCAAGACCATTTTACGACTCATTTTAGGAGGTCCAAAAGTAAAGGGGCTGCTGCTGCTACTAACAGAGGAAAAAAACCTCCTTTCTGCTTGACTAATAAAGCTCGTCTTTTCTGAATGGATTGGGGTCGAACCAGTCTCCTGAAGATGTGTTTCTTTGGAGCTAGTTTTCGTTTCTGAGCCGAATTGAGAGGTAACACCCCTTTTAATAGGTTGTAGACAATCTCACAAATTTTCAGAATACAGTCTCCAGAACAATGTTTTAAAATTCCGGTTTTTAAGGAAGAGGAATAGTGAGGGTCCGATAACACTCTTAAAAGAGGGGCATGAGCTCTTAATCGTGTAGAACAACCCTTTTTCTTCTTCTTCTTCTTAGCCATCTTTTATAACAATGAAGAAAGGTTTCCCATGTCACCCCCTTTTATAGTCTCTCTCTCTCTCTTAAGGAGGGGCATACCCCCCGTGTTTGTCGATCTCGTGTTTATCTCTACTTTTCTCCCTGACATAAATTTTTCCACAATATCGACATTTATATCTCATGCCTTTAGGTAGTTGAGGCGTCGTCGAGGGCATCAAGGGTTGAAAGCGCGTAATTTTGGGAGAATGAATGGGGACTTTAATTCCAGGGGAGGGAATTCCCACATTCACTCGAGGAAACACTTCTAAATCACTGGCTCTTTGACTGCCTATGGGTCCCATAGTACGATCCATTCTCAGTTCTGCTTGTTTCTTTAACAACTCCTTCATCGTTTTTTGTCTTTGGTCCTTATAATACTGATTTATTTCTTGTTTCAGACTTTCGGGCATGGCTTTACGTTGAGCGAGAGTTTGAGGGGTGGATTTGGTTTTCACCGCTTTTTTCTTTGAAACTGTTTTTTTCTTGGGAGCTTTTCTCTTCTTCTTCTTTCTGCTCTTTTGAGCTGCTCCTCCTACTCGCACCATCCAATCGGGAAACACTCTTTGTTTCTTATTATCGACTCGCACTACTACACTTTTCAACCGACGAACACGTGGTTTTTTAGGGCTGTTCCACTTGAATAAATGACGAATGATCACTCCACCAAGAAACCCAGCTCCTCCGCGTTTTAAAATGGCATTTTTTCTGTCTTGATCACTGGCCGACTGATCGGCTATGATACTTAAATCTTGACGATGATTATTAATAAATTTTTGGGTCTGTTTATTAATAGGTAGTACACCCTTCATTAAATTTCGAGCCCCCATGGCAAACCAATTCAATAAGGCTTTACGCCCTAATTCGATTAAATGGGCTCGTTTAGCGGGATCTCGTTCCCGCTGTAAACGTCGTAAGGTTCTCACTAATTTACTCTTGGCAGATGGAGCCATGATGATTGATCAATGATGAATGACTAAGATGAGCGTGATACACTTTTATTTATACTCTTGAGGCATGTGCACAGTCAGCATTTCAAACATTCGACTTCTCAATCTGTATTCGTCTGGGGTCTGAGGACTTAGGTCGACTAGTAAATATCCATGAGGAGGACTAGTGGCATCTTGATAAGCTGACATCAAATGAGGCAGGGCTAGTTGACGACTCAAGACACTGACCTGAGATTTATCTCTAGGGTTTTTAAATAGGACCAAATAATGAGCATTCAAACTAATAGTGCGATGGGAGGCTGCCCGATCAAATAAATTCTGAGTGATGTAAATCACACTGGTATTCCGATGATGGGCTTTACGGGTAAACCAACCCACAATCGATTCGATGGCTTTTCCTCCCATCATGTCGTCAAAAATGAGTAAGTGAGGAATATTTAAATTGGCCACTAATTTCTCATCGTCTTCAGGAATATTTCGAATGAAGGACACCCGATCTGTTAAAGACGTATAAGCAGGTTGCCATTCTCGATAGCACCAGACGATTTTTTGAGGCATGGGGGTGATCCAGTGTAAATTGTTCACCAATTTCTTGACAAATTCTGTTTTCCCCGATTTAGAGGGCCCTGCAACCACCATGGTAAATTCGTGTTTCAGTTGAAAAGAGGGGAGGGGTGTCTCCTGGGAATACATGTTGATCAATGAAGGAAAAATGGGGTTCAGGGGTCTATTTATACTTAACACAGCAATTAACTTTTTATTTCTTTTACCTCGATCGTATAAAAAATAACAACACATCAAATTTTTTTTTTGCATAAAACAATTTTAATAACCATAAGGCAAAGTGTTATAATTCTCTACAATTTGTCTCTTGTCATACACAATTCTATATTGTTTTTCTAAAGGCATGGTCTTGACTTCATGGTGACGGGTCCTTTGTATTTTGTAGGGATAGGAGACCTGGATTTCATCTATTTCTTTCTTCAACATTTTTTCTAAAGTCTCTGGAGACACGATCTGGGAGGCCCGATAGTTCAGAGTCAATCCTTTGACTTTGCACACAGATTTTCCTTTGGCTGTGACGTAAGCATAATTTTTAGGCCCTCCCGACATGAATTTAATGATGCGGTCCCCATCTAATTCGTCCGTCCATCCTCCCAAACTGTTGACAATGGTAGGGTTAAACAGTCCCTCCTTATGTTGATAAATGATACTGTCGGTATCGAAATACAGGGTCCGCTCTCCCAAGGGTTGTAAAGTTTCATACAGATGCAAACGAGCGTGAGCTGTAGTGAAACAGGCCAACACTACGTTTCCAAAAGGGCATTCCTCGACGAATTCCTGTTTCTCCTGGTAATTGACCAACATCATGTCTGCATCGGGGTTGTCTGTATTTTCCAACAGTTCTACTCCTTTGATGTCTAAAGTAGAGTCTTGTAAGAGTTGCTGTAATTCCTCTTCTTCTGACAAGTATCGAGTTTTGGGTAGGAGTAGGCGCTGGGCGAATTTTCCCCACAAACAATTTAAAAACAATTTAGCAATGGTCCTCAGCACTGGATTTTTTTCAATCTTCAAAGGATCCATCATGATGCCTTCTCGATTCAACACATCATAGATATACGCTCGTTTCTGTTCCTCCGTCTGACAGTCGGTCGGGAATCCAGAGGCCTCTTGCTTGATTTTCAAAAAAGTATCAATGTATTGTCTAAATAAATCCGTACTGCTTTTAGGGAAATGCCATACTTCGTAGATACGATCCAGTTTGTACCCCATGTCTAAAGCTTTGTGTAGTTCTGTCGTCACCCAGGTCCCCGTGAGACTGCGTTGTTGGTCGTTATGTCGACATGAATGGCTTGAGGTAGGCTCTTGATGTTCGGCACACGTTCGACATAGAGGAAACAGTAACTTGCCTCCCGTCCGATAAGGTAAGACGGGATGATAGAGACCTCGTGGCGGTAAGACCCGACAGTGGATCAGGCCAAAATAAGTTCTCACGTCTTGAAAATTCTCAGTAATGACTTCAGGGTGGCCCACTGGAAATGGCTTGTGTTTTAAAACGTAGGGATACAAGGAACAGACGTCCACGTATCGCATGTCCCCTTCCTGGCAATACAAGCGTGTAGCATTGGTTCGGCCTCCGTATAGGGCCTGGCGAGGATTTAAGGGATCCTGAAGGTCCAGGTGTTGTAGGAAGGTCTGTATATTCACTTCTCTTTGTACTTGTTGATCGAATTCGTGCTCCCATATACTGTGTACGGTGTACCCCATTTCCTGTAAGACTACACTCCGTCTCAGGGTTTCTTCGTATAATTCCTGATACGTAAAGTTTGTACGATGTGGATGAGTTTCAGTCTTTAGATTCGGATAACAGGTGGGGCATCCGTGCCAATAACAGCCGTAAAATTCGTACACAGTACGGGTGGCTTCCTCGTATCCGTCTACCATATACTTTCCTATTTTCACTTCTCCCCCGTTTCTAGCGTGTCGAATGACTTGGCCACTCTTGTGACAGATCCAGTGAAGCCAACGACAGGCTTTCATGGAATATTGACGAGCAGGTTCATAACCCAGATTTGGAATGATAGCAATGGTATTTTTGGGCATGAATCCTCGACGATAGGCTAAATTGGCGGCACTGGCAAAAGTGATGGATTCCTGGAAGGGGTCCACTTTGACCAGGCTCTTGAGTGTGCCCCTAAACTGAACACAGCATCGTCGCAAGATATCCACGTCGGAGATACAGTACTCTAAAAATTCTTTCTGGAAATCAAACACTTTTCCTTCTTGTTGTGTGTACCATTCGTAAAAATCCTGTCGTCCGGCCGTAGACATGTCGTCTGGATTATAGTAAGCCGCTGGCGGGTAAGGTCCCACGTAATTCTGGTTCTGTTCTGTGTTGAAAAAATGGGGAAAGTATCCTTTCTTCAGTTCTGTGAACCCAAAAGCTGAAGGCATCTTAGCCAGAGCAAAGGGTAAAAAATTGTACGAGTCCAGGAATTTCAGTCCACAGATCTGCATGGATAAGATCTTACTGCCATTCATGATGACTGTAGGTTTCATACAGGCCGTATGCACCAAGTAATTCAAAATAAACTGACCATCATAGCCTTTAAAATTGTGGGCAATGATGACAGCTTCGTCGTGTAACAAGGTGGAATTCTTATTTCCTGTGTCGGGTTGTAATAACCAGTCCATGAACTGTCTTAAGGTCTCTGGTCCTTGAAATACGTGTTGACGGGATCCCATGTGTCGACAGTGAGGACAGGGATCTTCTATGGGTAAGTGACCGCAATGTTGACATACGCGGTGAGCCACACATAGATTAGGGATGTGGGTGCCTTTTTCCTGGGTACATTCGAAATCGAAATAGATGTAGAACTGTAAGGTGTCTTTGCCCTTCTTCTTTTTTTCTGGCTTGAGTTGAACGTAGCACTGATGATCGGTGTCTACGGTTTTCTTGCAGATCTTACATTGTTTCTGTCCTCCACACTGGTGATGAGCGAGTATTGTTTTACCCATCCATTTCTCACAGTGCTCGCATCGGCCCATTAAATTGCACACAGTGGTCGTGGTATTTTTACTGTAAGGCCGTAAATGATTCTCGTAGCAAGTCCTGCTTTTAAATAAACCCTGGCATTCGTGACATTGAATGCGAGTCCCGTCTGGAGCACAAGGGGTGTTTGTTAAACAAAAGGAACAGCGATGAGGGCACTGGGTCCGATGGTATTCAATATGACTATAGCCCACATCGCAATGATCACAGTAATAAGGGTTGCCCGTCACTCCTGGCATAGATAGGATGGCATCGTAATGCTGGTCGTCTAACAGAACATTCAAACAAGTTCCGTCTCCGTAGCCTTTGTAAACGGGTTCTAAACAGAGTTTAGAGGATGTAGACTTGAACTGAAATACTTTCAGTCTATAGTCAGGGGCTAACACTTGTTGTAGCTTCGTCCACTCTGCAGGGCCACAGGGTTGATTTGTATCACACCCGGCTTGTTCCATGAGTGCTGTGGCTTCCCGTTTCTGGTCTAAGTATTTATCGCCTTTCCGCATACGTAACCATTGTTTTTCCCATTCTGGGTCGGGGTTTTCTGGTTTTTGACTGTGTAAACGGGCGACGACTATGGCTCGAGGTAGACACAAAACATCCCAAGGATTCTCGATCTGAATGATAGATCGTTTCCCCTTCTTGAAACTCTCCTTATTCACTTGTAGATGTTTCGTATTTTGTCCACCACTTCCTTCCGGATATTTGACATGAAACATGTCGAATTCCACAGCGCCGTCCGTGATTTTAAAATCCTTTTTGGATTGTTGCACGGCTTCTATTTTGTCTAAAATCAGGTCCTCGTTGAAATGTTTACATTGGGTAAACTCGTACCAAATGTCTGAATCCAGAGACGGGTGACGAATATTCAGCCGTAAATAATCGTTGGGATTACACTGCATCTGATATTTCACGTTGTCAAGCATGTCCCGAAATAAACGGCGAATAAATCCTCTGTTCTCGTTCTCTGGAAGTTCCTTAAAACTGATGGTGTAAACATCTTCTTTGGCTTTGAATTTCCTGGAATGACGGGCCTGATTCAATCGGATTTTGTAGTATTCCGAAATTAATTTCGGTTTTGGCTGTTGTTGTTGTTCGTGCGCTGGAGAGGAAGGTGGGGATGGTAGGTTTTCTTCCTCTTCCTCTCGTTGTTGAGCAGTCCTTGATCACTGTAAGCTTCGTAAGAGCCGTGCATTTTGTCTGCGTAATTCCCATTCTCTTCTTCTTTGTCTACGAATAATAGCTTCTAATTCCTTTTCTCTTCTTCTCTGTCTTAATCTCTGTTGTGCTGCTAATAATTTCTTAATAGCACTGTCGAAATCCATCTGTATGGCAATAAGTCTGGCAAACAAATGAGCTTCAATGTCTCATTAACACAGTTTTTATAGGTACAGTAAGACCCGTTTAGTACGAACACAGATATTGCGAGTTTTACCGTAAAACGACGTCATAAACGTCTAGACTGTGATCGCTGCCTACTTGATGACGTCATAATGCTCTATGCAGTCTAGGCAATTCATTCTGGATCCTTCTCAATCATTCTAATGTTATGACGTCACAATGCATAAGTCATAGGCATATTAGTTCTGGGTCCCTTACGAACATTCTAAATGTTACTTATATACTGCACGTGCTTTTCATGCTGAACAAGTTCTAGATCCTTCTCGATCATACTGCATCTGCACGTGCTGCCTTAGTAGTTTTATTAAAAATATGCTGACTCCGCCAAAAAAAAGTGCACTCATTTGACCCCCCCATCCAGACGCTCTATACTACTGATAAATCGTAGAAACGTTAAACATTCATTAATTTCTTAAGGGTCTGAAGACTCAACTTTAATTTATTCAGTGCGAAAGGGTCTGATGACCCCATATTTATATGTCCTTTAAACTTTAAAACTAAAAGTAAATAACACGTAGGACTAATTGCAATGTGACCCTTGACATTTGTTCTTTAACATTGTTAGTGTAATCAAAATTGGCGAATTTAAATTTTAGCGCAGTCCCTGGGTATGGGTTTTTTTTGGCGGAATCATGAATAAGCACTACATACGTCCGAATCATGTTTTGTATAAATAAATGATTATAAGCGTTATTCATAAGTTAGCGCATTGTTGTCAGCCGCTAAAATATAAATCCCGCATTTTTTAAAAGTACAATCCCAAATTATTCAGTATAATGTAAGAAAGCATTGTTGAAAATGGCTTTTCAGCGCGCCCCCAAAACTGTAAAGAGTTTCTTTGACATGTAGAAACTATTAATGGGGGAAAGGGAGAGTAGAGTCCTTATTCGCAATAGGCCAGTCATTACAGAGACATTGATATAGGTTGACACTTCACTGACGTATACGATTTTTCTTCTTGCTTATAACATTTTTTTTATTCAGAAAACCCTTAAAAGAACTTTAGGTTTGTCTAGCCAGAAAATGTCCTGTCCTCTATTGTAGCAATCTCGTTTGAAGAAAAGTCTCTAAAACATTGAAGAGAAAATGTCAATAGCAAGTTTTTTTTAATGTAAGATATAAATATATGTTTATGCTTCAAGAAAAATACAGATGATTACATGGAACATTTTATTACCCTCACAATGCAAATATATTGAATTAACACGGAATAAACGGGATTAGCTGTTGATCCCTTGCAAGGCCAAGCTTACTTTGTATTTTTGTATCATGGAGATTATGTGTTTGTTACCTTGGAAGGTTTTTTGCATGTTTTTTTTGGTGTCTCATTAGTTATAGTTGATTATGTAATCTTATGTCATAATTTTGGATTTTACATGTATGTATTTTACATGTTTTTTAATCTTAAAAATTTTTATCTCAATTTGAGTAAAATCTTTCGCAAAATAGTCTGGTGTTGTGTGTTTTTTGCTACTTCAATACAGGGTAAATCAGCATTCACTGAGCAAATCATTTCGGTTATGATGAAAGAGAAAGGCATAGAGGACATTTAACGCTTTATAAACTGCGGAGTGTCATTAAGAATGAGTGCGCCGAATATTATAGTTTGGAGAATAGATTTCTCATAAATATCTTAAATTATGAACTTACAGCAGCCTTTTCTATCTTTTCAATCATAAAATGAATCCAAACATTGAATTTTACTATTAAGAGGATTGATATGTCATTTCATATATTTCAATGAGTAATTGCACCTGATATTTTTGGATGTTAACAAAAAATTAAAAAATTTTAAAAAGATAAATCGCAGAGACACTGACCCAACCACATATGATTTTTTTGGTCAAGATCATAGGTCAAGGTCATTTAGAATATCAGATATAATTGAAATGGAACAAACACCCTGACCAGAGACTTTGTGAGCATGTTCAAATGCACCGAATGTCGAAATAACGTGTCGAAAGCTGTAAACGTATCCATGCCTTGCAATATAATTACTGCACCAATTCGAATATGTGCATATGCCAAGAGATTTACAACCTAAAATATTTTAATTGAAATATGTATTACGAAAATTAAATAGTAAACTCCATGAAAACAGTAAACAAACTGCATCTCATACAACATATTAACTTATGCTTAGTCGTGATGATTAAAAGTTTTGACAGACTCTCTCTATATATCTCTCTCTATATCTCTCTCTCTATTTCTCTCTCTCTCTCTCTCTATTTCTCTCTCTTTCTCTCTCTCTCTCTGCTGAGCAATTCATTTTGGTCGAGCAATTCAAATTTGTAATAAAAACTATTTAACAGTTAAAGTGAATCTAGTAACAATGTGATAGGTACATGTAAATGTGAAAGGTAAAAAAAGCAATGGATCTACAATGAAACGTTTCATTTATCATTAATTGTTATTTTAAAATTTCGCGAAGTAAAGTTGGCAAAGAACTGAAACAAATTGTTGACACCGATAACTGAACTTTTAAAATACTTCAGAGTTCATTTTATATATTTTTTTTTCATGCAAGACCATATTTCATCAAAACAGCTTTTATTTCCTGAATGAAAATAGTAATTACAGGTGAGACATTATATTCTTCTTTTATGATTTACATCAAATTAGAAATAAATTGTATACTTAATTACAAAGTACTTACAATTGACATGTGTCGCTGGGGAGTGTGGAGGGTAATTCTGTTAATCTTTTTCCATCGCAATCTGCGTATTGTCCAGAGCATATCGATGACTGTTTACAGGTACAAGGGCTACAGGCTTCAATCATAGAATCAAATAAGAAAGCACAGAAAACCAGCGCCCACAGTGTGAAATGCATCTTTCAAACTTGTATGCTATGTCTCCGACTTGTGTCAAACTGTAGATGTGCCGTACGAAGACAAACACTTTCGAGCATTTGTTGAGGAACTTCTCATCCTTTAGATACAGCCGCATACGGATATTCTACATAAGTGATACAGATTTTCCTTCATTGACACCATTTTCTCTTTCGTTAACGCATGATCTGAATACATGTACATCTTCTTGTAGTTCTAATATCACCGTTACTAATCTAATGACTTACAAAACCAAATATTAACTTACTGTGAAATCACAAATTTTCGTGTGTGTGTGTGTGTATGGGGGGGGGGGTTATTTTCGTTGTTTTTGTGGTATGACGAGACCCACGAATTCATGTCCACCTAAAAATGTAAAATGCATAAGTAGTCATTAATTCTTCATCTACGAAATCAAATCCCCATGAACCAAACGATTTTCCTCGAAACACAAAAATATGACTTCATGAAAATATATGATTTTTCAGTAATTTGTTTATTTAGTACTTGTTTTTTGTAAGATACAAAATAAATATGTGTAGTGCTAACTAAATAAATCTACTCTAGCCAAAATTAAAATTATGATTCAGAATGTCTAGTCTGGTTTTAATTATTATTCTGTTGTGTCATTGGTGCATAAATCAGATTTATACCCCTCGATAATGCAAACACAGGAAGTGAACTTTCAACCTTTTAAAGTTATATTTAACTATTAAGGATGGCTAATAGACATTCCTCGTGATATGTTAGACGCTAATGGTAATCTAACAACCAAGCTATATGATAAACGTGATGACTTTAATTTTTCTATCGTCAACTTCCCTTACTTATGCAGCAATATAACTTCATCACCTGCATACGGAGTATATAAATCTCAGTTGATTCGTTACGCAAGAGCATGCTCTACGTATGAATAATTTCTGAAACGAGGTAAATTATAGACAAGCAAGTTGATGAAACAAGAATATCAGCAGTCTCGTTTCAAGTCATTATTTCGTAAGTGATATGGTCAATGCAATGACCTTGACAGCAAAATCAATTTTCCATTGAGTTAAGTGATGACATTTTTTATACCAATTTTGAGTCCATTATTTAAACACTGAATTGATGACAGAGTTTTCCGTTATTTCCTGATCATGACAAGGAGCACACGGCGGGTGTGACCGGTCAGAAGGGGATGCTCACTCCTCCATGACAACTGACCCCACCTCTGATGTTTCGGAGGTCCGTGTTTGCTCTGATCCTATTTTGTATTATTTTATGGACTTTGAGATTGAATATTGTTCGTCATTTGTCCATGTATAAAAATAATTTGATCACGTCAATCCATGACTTCTTAATATCCTTTATACGCTTAAAATTCTCAAGAGGATTTGAAAATTGAAATTCTTTAGAACACAAAACTCTACTAAGATAGGAATTCAAATTCCGTTTTTGAAATTAGTAAAATATCACAAGAAACATCAAAAAACTATCATTTGTAGTTAAATTAGTTATAGGTAAATCTAAAAACGTCGGGAGTTATATGATGTTGTAAATTTTGAATTTACGGGCTGTCACCCGATTGAAAATTTACTAGTACGACATGACAGTTACCTTTTACCAGTTACATTATTGATTGGTATAAATCTGGATTATGCACCAGTAAGAGATAAAATGATGTAAATAAAGCAAGATCCGTATTATGTGTGTAGTTTATCGGTATTGCATGTACAGGATGACAAACATCCTCAACTTATGTACGAAAGTGTTTGTCTTAGTAATTCACAGCATATTTTTGTTTTTACATCAGACAGATTGATAAAGTGACAATATACAAATAAAAGAAAAGAATAATCATTGATGATTCTAAATATAACTCCTATTGACTTACTTAAAACTAACTGACGATTTAAAATATTCCGGCAGCGCATTGATCTTTTTTATCAGCTTAATTTTTTCTGTGGTTGTTACTGTAAACGTATTCCATTTGGCGATGTATTCTTTTTTGCGTTCTTGGCGGAAAGAAACTTCCGCTAATTCATGTACAGCGCTAAATGTCTTACACATACATTTATATACATTAATAAAAACATTAAGAAATGCGCTAAATCAAATCTATGCTAACTTGTTCAAAAATCAATTGTCGCCAAATATTGTACACTCTAAATATAATACATTTACAGTATATCTTACTTTAGGTTTTAAGATTTAAGTACATATTTTTACGTGCGTGATAATTACTTAATGAAATAAAATATTTCTTGGCATCCTAAATTCTATTTGTTTATAAAATATTTTTCATTAACTTGTGGATATTTCTCTATATTCTATATTGAGCATTCTATTAATCAAACTTCATGGATTATAAGAAAACATAAAGACGGCAGTTCACTGTGAACCTGACAATGCCTCGAATCACTTCAAATTTGACAGGTAAAATTAGTCGATTTTTTGGAATTCAGAAAAATGGATTCTTCTAACGCCATCTTGTAAAATCCGAGTATACTCCTAATTCCTGATGTAACGTGAGTACATGTGAACTGATTTTGACCTCATGTACATGTAATGTATGCGGATATGACACCTATTATCCTTTCCCAAACTATCCTACAAGTGCAAAAATAATTCCTGGCTTCGTTCTGCACCAAAGAAGAATTTAACTTTACGTTAAATTTTCCCCGTTAATTCTTTCAGCCGACTTATAATCAAACTGCTTGAAATATTACTTCAGTTACTGAAACGAATCTTAGAAAACTATTTCCTTAATAAACTTTATATACCAAAAAAGAAATTTGAAATTTCCGCAAATTTTGAAAGTAAATTATGCAGTAGAACTTAAATATAAATGCTAAATTATTTTAATCTTTTTAAGTATTTATAACTTTGATCTTTTAAACTATTTTTTTCACTATACTCTCAAATATCTACCTTGTAATTCTTTACCTAAAAATGTTTAAATAGCATTATTTTGTGGGTGAACTTAGTGAAAAAAGATGTGTTTGTAAAATACCCCGGTACTCATTCCCCAGCATGCCAGCTTATGGTTGAAGTTTCCCGAGTGCAAGTATAACTAAAAGGTCAAGGTCAAAGGTCAAAATTGTTGATATCCAAGGAAGGTCTTTTCACAAAGAATAAACCTGTGAAATATGAAAACCCTACTACTATCAGCTCAAAAGTTATGATTAAAGTGAAAGTTTTTAACAGAAAGTCAAACTAGAAGATAAAGGTAAAATATTTAAACGAGGCCCGTTCTAATTGATCTGAGCTTACGTTTTAACGCAGTGTCGACTCAAGCACGCCACAATACCTTTGACTGCCGTCACAATTGAACACAATAACGTCACAGTTAAAATGACGTCAAATTGCGCTAAAATGTTTCGCTGATCTTGCTTACATGGTAGCTCTATAGAATTAGGGAATAACTATCTTCTAATTTGGTATTTGCGACCGTTAATGCTGATTTAACGGTCGCAAACTGAGTTTTTTTAAAACGGATGTTTGCGACCGTTAAATCAGCAATAACGGTCGCAAATACCAAATTAGAAGTTTAGTTATTCCCATTCTAATGCAATCCATGCATTTTGTTTGTTGTTTACGTCTTATTTTGTTGAGTTTTATTACATGAAATACGTCCCAGGGCATTGTGTATTTTGCGTCGCTCTATTATGACGTCACAATGATAAGCTTTCACTCTCGTTAAGGTCAAGATCTAGTAAATAACTTGAGGCTAATATTTTGGTGCTAGATCTATTATGACGTCATAATCAATTTCAACTTCCTTTTTCCCGTACTTTACGGCTTTAGCAGAATTATGTAGAAAATAGGGTTTTTTCATGTCATTCAATTTGAAATCATATGAAAAGTAAACCGGAAACTAATGTTAAATTTGATATTGATTTAAAGAAGAGGCCAGGAACATACTAATTACAGTTTTCTGAGAGACTGTAGGCAATCTGGATACATTTCCTATGCCGAATACGAAAAAAAATCCCATATTTATGACTAGTTTTCTTAATTTTTCATTGAAAATGATTGTTTAAAATACAGTTTTTCATCTTGTTTACCAACAAATTATGTCCCGAAACACCTTATTTGACCAAGGTAAAGTTGTAAAGCATCAATAAAGGAATTTATTTGTCAAGTTTGATAAATCTGTAGGCACCCTTCATTTACTAGATCTTGACCTTAATGCTCGTTTTACTGCTTCAAACATCAGTGCATTAGCCAATCAAAGAGTGCTTTACAAAACAATTGCATTAGAATATGCATTGAAAGCTGGCATTTCTATTATTTTTTTTAAATATTCAAATTAATAAACAACTTTGGAACCTAATTAAGTTTGAGGGATTAATTTTTTGGTACAGATTCATCAATTTTATTCTGTTTTATTTCAATTTGTGAGTTTAAAAAACAAACACTGTAACTAAAAGTAAACGATTTTAGTCTTTATCTTTGAACATGTTGAAATGTTTATACACACTCTTTTTATTGCGGACTTAAAATATGCATGGATTATCTTCAGTTTTAAAAACTAAAATAAGTCTAAAAATCATTGAAATTGAACCGCCGAAATATTTTATTTTGTATATATTACATGATATTAGTAAAAATTGCAATTTTGTCGCCCTTACCCCCCCCCCCCTCCCTCCTCCCTCTATCCCTTTTTTCCACGTAAAACAACGTCGCGTGTTAAGAGAAAAATAACGCATGGCGAGAAATTTATTTCATAATGTGAGAATTATTTATTTTTTAGAAACTAATACAGTATTTTTATCGTTTGTTGGCGTTATGTAAACCCATTTTGACCTATAAAATATAATACGAAGTTAGATAGAATAAATCCAAATTTTGTGTTTTGACATGCCCCCTTTTCACTGCAATAAAGGCTACCTCCAAATTTCTTTTCATTTTTTATAAGAAGAATGAAAATTGCATGATATATATGAAAAACAAAGAATTTCATCATGTATTTTTTTTTCAATTTGTAAATTACTTTGTTTATTGAATAGTTTTTGTATGT